TTTTAGTTTTTATTTTTAGAAACCAAATTTTTACTCTGAGGAACTGGCTGTACAATATCTAAAAATAAAGTGACATTGTGGGGATCACTCCCGTGTGAGGCCCCTAGGAAATGGGCCTCTCAATCTGGTGAGCTTGAGCCCGGACACAGATGCCCAGTTGGGGAAGTCGAGCTGAGGGAAAGCAGGAACCGAGAGAGGGACTATGTTATTCAAAATAATTAACAGACATTACTTTATGGATATGAGGACTTGGGAGGCAATGTGTCCACTTTTGGCTTCTTATGGTTTATTGCTTGATTGTGTTCATTTTGGACCCTTGTTACCTTCATTGTAAAAATATTAACTTAAGTATTTACACTTGGTAACTTACTTATTGTAACTTACTGGGTGTAACTGTAACTTACTTAACGTAACTTACTGGGCGTGACTGTAACTTACTTACCTTGACCTATTGGGCGTAACCTACTTACTGGGCGTAACCTACTTACTGGACTTAACTTACTTACTGGGCGTAACTTAGTGGGCATAACTTGCTTACTGTAACTTAAGTACGTTGATCTGGCATAAACAACTTTGACTTCAGAAAAGTATATAATGAAACGTATTGCAAAAATAAAATGGCTGCTTGGACATAGCCTAAGCCAGCCCTCCAGACTCTACTTTCCTTTATTCTTTCACTTCCGCGCACTCTCTCCTTCAGGTTGAACAAGACATCTACGTTGGCGGTCTAGGGGACTCCTGCAGGTTGGTAGTCCCCCAGCAGACGTGCCGGACCCCAATATGACATGAAGGAAGCAATCTACAACTTCCTTCCACCTAGTGTGCATGCATGTGTGTGCCTGTCTGCATGTGTGGGAATCCGGGGGCCAGGCTGAGGGGAGCTGGAGCTAGGGGGTTGGGAGCCATTTGCTTTTGGAGTCCCTGGAGCTGGAGGGGGACTGTCCCCAGCTTCCTGCTTCCCTCCACAGAGGGCACTGCTGCTGAGCGGAGAGGGGGATGATGTTGGGGGAGGAACTGGAGAAGGGTGGGAGGCAGGGCCTCCTTTGCCCTCCCCTGTCGGGGGAAGTGAAACCACGATGTACTTCTGGACACTCCCAGGATCAGAGGGAGCGGTGCTAGTGGGTGCGGTGGTGGCGGTGGAGACCAGCTTGACGATGGGGACAGTGGTGGTGACAGGCGAGGTTGTGGTGCAACCTGAGCCAGGGGCTGAGGTGCTGAGACAGGACCTGCTGGGTGAATGGGGCACTGGAGGACGAGGACATTACAATGAACTTGGTTGGAGGAGGGGAAGGCTGTGGTGGTGCAGCTGCTCGTGCAGACACCAGTGTCTGGTTGGGAAGTGTGATGGAGCCAGGAACCTTCAGCAAGCAAGGGGTGTGAGGACCAGGCTGTGGGGCCTGTGAGAAGGTCAACGTGGGCTGGGGGCTGTGTGATGGTCAGAGTGGTCCTGTTGACCTGCTAAGCCTGGGCCTGAGCCTTGACCACATGGGAGCAGAGGAGGGGCCCGAGAGACCCAAATTCTGCCTGATAGGCATCCTGATTGTCAGGCGGTGGGCGCAGCTTTGCCAGAACAGGGGCACAGTGTTTCAGCAGGAGACTCTGCACATGGCCAGCTCCGATCCGGCCAATGTTGCTCAGCACAGGGCCATCCAGGAAGCTGCGAATCCGCTCCCCTTCCTGTTGCAGCCGAGGCAGAATCAGAGTCTTGATGACATCCTGTCCCAGCTCGGCCAGGCCTGTGATGGAGTCATAACAAGTTGTCCAGGGGGACATAGCCCCTCTGCCAGGGGCTCCCCAAATAGGAGCCTCTTTTTTGTGGGGGTGCAGGTACAGTTTATTCTTTATAACAGAGAAATGCAAAGAGCAGAGGGTTTGTAATTCCTTTGTTTCTTGCCGCCCTTAGTGTTTTCCTCCAACATTTGATTTTCATTTGCTCCCCACCCCCTTTTTTAAATAGAATGCAAACTTCCTTCCTGAAGTGTCTGAGGGGCACCTGCCCTCACCTCCCTGCCTCCGAGAGGCAGACTGAGAAGCCAACAGACTGTTTTTTCTTCTTTAATAAGGTAACTAGTTCTAAATATGGTGGCCTGGAGGTCCCATAGAAAAAGCAAAGTGGTGTTAACAGTATGTTTAACAGCATATTTACAGGGAGTAACATGCGGACAAAAGCTACAATACTGAGAATCAGACGAGGCAAGTCAAACAAAGGGCTGGGGGTGGGGGCAGAGGATCCCATGGGAAAAGAAACCCCAGGAAACATTAAACTGGTAAATCAATGGCCAGTTAAGGCTTAAAAGGTGTATAAAAATATCACAGTTAATATTCAAAATGGAACTCCAGCTACAGAATATATAGATGAGTTTCTGTCTAGTTTTCTTTTTTTTCCTGGGGGCATGTGCGGGCCTTCTCTGGGCTCTGTACATGGTTCCTATATACAAGGACAAGCATGGCTTTCAGATTGGGGTGTGTCTGTGGGGCCTGGGGGTAGGGTCTGCTCCTGGGACCCACCTCCCCGAGGATCCCTTCCCTGCTGAGAGGCCTAGGGCCTGGGCTGGGGATAACCCCTCCCTGGGCACTGCCCACATGTGGAGGAAACTCTGGAGGGAGGTCCCAGCCCCAGGCCCACTCCCTCTCCATTCCCCTGCCCACAGTCTGGGATGGTGGGAGAGGTAGCCAAAGGGTTTCCTGGCCAGCACTGAGGTAGACTGGGATGGTCTTCAGGGCAGCAGCAGAGGGCTAGCTCTTACCTACCCCGTCCCCAACCCATTTCTCTGGGCCAGCCCACCACCCAGCCCACCACTGCACCCTTCGGTCCTGTGGATCTCCTGCCCCTCTCATTTCTGCCTCCTGAAGCTGCTGCACCCCTCTGCTCAGTGATGCCACAGAGCACAGCTCAAGAGGTGCGAGCCTGGTGCTCAGGGGCAAAGGGTTCACTCCGGCTGCTTCCTGCCCCTCCCACCTGGGGTCCCCTTAGCAGTCCAGAAACCCAGGCCTGAGCCTTTCCTCAAGACCAGAGGCCATGGCAAGAGAAGGTCCCACACTGCCCTCTGGTTCTCAGCGTCCATCTGTCCGATTCTTTAAATTTCTCGGTCTTAGCAGCACCAACTTCCTGGCCAATAAATATCTTTTCTGTTATTTCCAAAACAAACTTAAAAAACAAACAAACAAACAAAAAAAGAAAAACAGTGAAGCAAGTGAAGGGTGGGGAACAAAAAGAAAACTCAACAGAGAGGTTCTAAGTGCTCTGAGATCGTCTTTGGATGCCACCAAAACAGTCCAGAATCTTGCAGCTGGCCTGGCCGCCCCCGGACTGGACCAGGCAGGGCTTCTGCGGACCAAGCTTTCTGGAAGGTTGGGAAGGTCGTGAGAGAGCTTGGTGGTTCCTGGAGGGCCCCCAGAGGGAGTCGGGGCCTGGTGCTGCCTGGGTCTGTGTCTGCCAGTGGGCCGGGTGGGGCGGCACCTCCAGTGGGCTCAGATGAGAGAGATTCGCACCGGGATGCCAGGAGACTCAATCCTCTGGGGTGAGTGATGGCTCACCAGGTGCTCCACCACCATGTGTTTGGACATGTGCTTCATCAGGTAGGTCTCCGAGGTTTGGCCTGCCCACACGTGCTGCAGCAGTAGGCCTTGGCATGCTTGATGGCGTGGGCCGAGAGGTGGATCTGCAGGGAGGCGGAGTCCGAGTAGGCCCAGTAGCAGTTGGGACACATGTAGGGCTTGTCCTTGTTGTGCTGGTGCTGGTGAGACTGCAGGTTGGAGAGCTGAGTGAAAGCCTTCTCACAGCCAGGGTGTGGGCACTTGCAGGGTCTGTCACCTGTGTGGATTCTGGTGTGCTGCTGGAGGTGGGAGAGCTGCCGGAAGGACTTATCACAGTAGGAGCAGTGGTAGAGCTTGACACCCAGGTGGATACGCAGGTGCTGGGCCAGGTAGGAGGCACTGGCAAAGGACTTAGAGCAGTGCGGGCACTTGTGGGGCTTGGCCTCTGTGTGCGACTTGGAGTGATCTGCATCTCCGACTTGGTGAAAAAGGTCGGCGGGCATACCTTACGTCTTGCCCTCCTTGGCAGTCTTGCCCGAGGCCAGGATGGGGTAGGGGACTACTAAGACAGGCGGACCCCCCGGGTTCTCTGCCTTGATCTTTTTGTGGCCGCATTCGGACTTGGGGGGGCCAAGCAGGTCATGGCCCTGGGTTGTCTTGATGGAGTCCAGGAGACAGGGGCTGGTGATCCCTGAGATGAGGGTGGGGGATGAGGCGATGAGGCAGCTCTGGCTGGTGGTGGTGGGTGTGGACGGGGTGCTGGTACCTGTGCCAGAGCCTGCGCTCAACTCAGAAGTGCTCACAGCCGGGGTCCGGGTGGACAGCCCCAGACCTGTGACAGTGCTGGTGGCCAGCCGTGCGTGCAACGCAACGTCGGACTTATTCTCCATCTGCTCCTCGGCGATCCCCCTCTGGACACTGGCCAGCACAGTGGACTTGAAGAAGTACCTCCAGTTGTGATGGAGCATCCGGAAAAGGAGTTCAAACAACTCGGCCTTTACATCAGGAGAGGGATGCTCGGCGATAATGGGATACACCTGCTCCATGCCCAGGGCAATGATGCTGGGGAGAAAGGGCTTGAACACCTGGCCTGGCTCCTGGACCACCACTTGCAGGATCTTCAGGAACTTCTCCACCACCCGACATCTGGTGCTGCCCTTGTGCAGGATGCTCTCAGCTAACTGCTCTCTGGTAAACATGTTGAGGAAAGTCTGTATGATTTGCTCAGTGAAAGGCACACCCATCTATACTCTAAGGCCTCAAAACAGAGTGAGGAAGAAGCTCAGCATCTCATCAGTCACATCTGACTGATAGATAAAAGCTGGAAAGAGGGCCAGGGAGACCTGAACGGATTCCTGCAGCGACTGTGATGGATTTCTGGATGAACAAGAATTAGAAGCCCTATTTACTAAAGAGTTGGAGAAAGTATGTGACCCTAAAACTGAAGAGGATGATATGGTAGAAATGGAAGAAGAAAGGCTTACAATGAGGGAACATGCAATGAATGAGGTTGATACCAACAAAGACCGTTTGGTGACTCTGGAGGAGTTTTTGAAAGCCACAGAAAAAAAAGAATTCTTGGGGCCAGATAGCTGGGAGACATTAGATCAGCAACAGTTCTTCACAGAGGAAGAACTAAAAGAATACAAAAATATTATTGCTTTACAAGAAAATGAGCTTCAGAAACAAAAGGAAGAGCTACGGCATCAGCACGATCAACTGGAGGCTCAGAAGCTGGAATATCATCAGGTCATACAGCAGACTGAACAAAAAAAATTACAACAAGGAATTCCTCCATCAGGGCCAGCTGGAGAATTGAAGTTTGAGCCACACATTTAAAGTCTGAAGTCCGCCAGAACTTGGAAGAAAGCTGTTAACTCAACATCTATTTTATCTTTTTAGCTCCCTTTCTTTTTCTCTGCTCAATAAATATTTTAAAAGCAAAAAAAAAAAAAGGGATTTTTTTTTTGTTTTTTATTAAGCCCACCTTTATTTCAAGGTTCTGTTCAGAAAGTAATTTGAGGTCTCGATGTTCTGAGGCACAGCTTTCTTCAAGAGCAAAGCAGAAGTCCTTAGCGAAATTCAGGTTCCACTTACAGTCCCATCCCTTGACTCAACCTTTAGAACAATAGGTTTTTCTGTTTGAAGAAGTCCTCCTAAGCATAATTTCAGGGGGATCTGTATTTCTTTACAAGGTTTGAAGGACAAGTTCTGAAGGACTCTGATTAGAGCAAGTACCATGTTCATGAGAGCAAACCTCATGCCAATGCAGTTTCTGGGTCCAGTTCTAAAGGATGTGTATATGTGCTATCTGTGTTGTCCTTGTTATTCTTACTGAACCTTTCAGGGAGGAACTTCTCAGTCTCTGTCCAGTACTTTGGGTCATAGTGAAGAGCATAGCTTGGATTCATCACCACTACCCCTTTGGGAATCAACATCCCATTGATTTCAACATCTTTTTTGCAGATCCTCTCAAGTCTCATAGCAAGTGGGAATAATCTGAGTGTTTCATTCACCACCATGTCAAGATACTCCATCTGTAGCACAGTATCATAGGTGGCTGGTGCCTTGTTGGGTAAAACTGCATCAATTTCCTCCTGCGGTTTCTGCTGGACATCAGGGTGAGTGGCCAGTTCATACATAACGAAGAAAAGACTACTGCTGGTGGTTTCATAGCCAGTAAAAATGAAGATAATTGATTGGGCCATGAGCTCCAGATCAGACAGAGCTTTGTGGGACTCAGTTTCTTTCGAATTCTGGGAGTCAATCATCAGCTGAAGGAAATCCACTCGGTGCTTATGTGTATCTTTGAGACGACTTTCTTTTATCCTTTTTATAGATTTTCTTAAAAAACTTGTAGAATCTCTTGGAAACACAGAAATATTTAATGCTTCAAGAATTGGGGTAAGGAATGGAAAGATTGTTATTGAGAGAAAGAATGGATCTGAAACATCAAATCTTAAAAGCTTCTTGGTGCTTTCCACAAAGGGGTCTTGTGGATTGTTGAGAGAGTTGTTGTTCACTCCAAATGACGTGTCAGTGATCACATCCATGCTGTAGGCCCCAAAGATGTCTTTCATGTTGATTCCTTGCCTTTCTCTGCTTCCCGCCTCAGGTTTTTCACCAACACCTCTCCATACTGGGCAAAGATAGGGACTCCTTGAGTTTTCCACTGGTGAAGATTGGAGACAGCAATGATCATATTTTCTTCCATTTATCATCCGTAGCTATAGAGATGGCACTTTTCATAAATCCCACTGGACCGAAAGACCTCCGGTTAGCGAAGACAGAATAACATTCTTTCACTAGCACTGTTTTGATTATGTTGGGATCTGCGATAGCCAGCACAGGCTGTCGACCATCATAAATCCCCCACACTTCTCCATACTTTTTATAACATTCCATGTCAAACTTCCAAAAGTCCTGTCGGTAGGATAAAACAGTTCCCAAAAAGGGCAGAGGTGTGGGTCCCAGAATTCCAAGCTTCTTAAAAAGCCCATGTGAATTAGTTCCATATCTCTCTTCTGGGAAGCTTGTCCTGTCTTCCAGCGGCCAACTTAATTGCTGGTGGTATGGGAGGCAGCATTGCTGGGGGCGCAGTCACCTGGAGCCCTAATGTGTGGTGGTTAAGAGCCATTCGGGGCTGGGCGCAGTGGCTCACGCCCGTAATCCCAGCACTTTGGGAGGCCGAGGCGGATGGATCACGAGGTCAACAGATCGAGACCATCCTGTCAACATGGTGAAACCCCGTCTCTACTAAAAATACAAAATTAGCTGGGCATGGTAGAGCATGCCTGTAATCCCAGCTACTTGGGAGGCTGAGGCAGGAGAATTGCCTGAACTCAGGAGGCAGAGGTTGTGGTGAGCCGAGGTCGCGCCATTGCACTCCAGCCTGGGCAACAAGAACGAAACTCCGTCTCAAAAAAAAAAAAAAAAAAAAAAAAGAGCCAGTCAGAGACCTGGCATGGAATCTTGCTTCTTGCAAACGAGCAGTGTGGAGAGATAGATAATGAACAAACAAAGTGAAACACATGGTGTATCAGAGAATGAGGTGCTGGAAGAGCTATGCTGAAGAGTGAAGCAGGGAAGGGGCAGGGCTGGGAGGAAAAGCCTTGTGTGAAGGTGACCTGGGTGCAGGGACTTGAAGGGGATGATGGAGGACACTAGGGAGGTCCCGGCGAGGAGCGGCCTGGCTGAACAGCCGCCTGTGCAGAGGGCCTGCGGAGGAGCTCGAGAGAATCAGGGCTGGGGGTGCTGGAGTGGAGGGACTGAGGAGAAGCAGGAAGAGGGCAACAGAGAGGAGCTGGGGACAGATCCTGGAGGTTCTAGGGGCACAATAAACACTGTGGCAAAAAAAAAAAGACGTGGGCCAGTTCGCGCCACGCCACGGAGGGAGGCTGAGCGGGCTGGGCGGTGGGCACACGGCATGTTGCCCTAGTTGCCACAGCGGTGGAGCACGGGCCTGGAAGAGGTGCCCGAGGGACCAGGCCCCACCGTGGGCAGGGACCAGGGTGAGGCCTGGAGCTCAGGAGCAGACGCCCCCAGGGAGCTGGAGACACCCCCACGGGACAGCCCACAGCCCCCATCCCACAGACATTCCTGGACCCGGAGAGAGCAGCTGCTGCTGCCCGGCGATCCGCCACATCCGGCCGCTGAGCAGCCCCTCGGAGCCCCAGTTCCCCTTCCCCCCAGATGGCCTGGGAGGAGGCCCCCTCGAAGATGACTCCTCCAGCACCCTGGGACCCCAAGTACGAAGCCAAAGCAGGGCCTCGGCTGGTGTGGGGGGTCAACTGTAGCTCAGGAGCCTCCTTCTCAGGCCAGACGCTATGTCACCCCTTGTTCTGGCTGCTGTATGAGGCAGCCTCAGGTAGGGGTCCCCGGCCTGTGGCCCCTGCCACAGGGCATGAGAATGGGCAGCAGGTGCACCCAGATGCAGAGTTCCTGGTGATGTGCCATGAAGACCTCTTCTTCTCAGACCCTCTACTGCCCCTGGGACAGAGTGTCCCCTTATACCTTTTCGAGGCCCCCCAGCAGGTGATGAGCTCCCTGAAATGGCTGCCACCACCTCCCATAATGTCCCCCTGGGTCTTCCCCAGCCTGTAACCCTCCCCAGGCCACTCCACCGCCTGGCTCAGTGGGCTGGAGCTGATAGCTCTCACTGGCCTGCTGCAGATGAGCCAGGGGGAATCCCAGGCCCAGCTTCTCCTCCGCTGCTGGCACCCTAGACCCTGCCTCTGACCCAACCAGCCCCTGTGGTGGCTCCAGCAGTTCTCACAGTGCTGACCCCTCTCTCCCACAGACCCCAGACACCCATTGTTCATAACCTTCTTGGAGCAGGTGGGCTGGTTGTGTTGACAATGAAAGTGTTAGTTTGCAAAAAAAAAAAAAATGAAATATCACATGTCCTCACTCATAGGTGGGTGTTGAACAATGAGAACACATGGACACAGGGAGGGGAGCACTACACACTGGGGTCTGTTCGGGGGAATAGGGAGGGACAGCAGGGGGTGGGGAGTTGGGGAGAGATAGCATGGGGAGAAATGCCAGATATAGGTGAAGGGGAGGAAGGCAGCACATCACACTGCCACATGTGTACCTATGCAACTATCTTGCATGTTCTTCACATACCCCATATATATAATTGCATTTTAGGTTTGGGGGTACATGTGAAGAACATATTTTATATATATATATATATATATACACACATATATATATAAAAATCTGTGATCAGATTTTTTTTTCCCACTGGAGACAGGTTTTATTGATACCGATGGGGGTAGGAAAGGCCCCCAGAAGCAAGGGGTGCAGCGTTCATGCCAAAGGCTTGAGACAGTTAGCGTGACTCACCCCATTTTGGCTGCTGGACTTATCTGCTCTCCCCCTGCAGTGTTCGCGCCAAAGGCCTGAGACAGCTAGCATGACTCGCCCCATTTTGGCTGCTGGACCTATCTGCTCTGCCCCCACTCTCGAGGGCTGTCGAGTTGAGGCAAGGGTCTCCGGCTGAACCACTGAGGCAAAAACAAGATATAGAGCAAGGGCCTGCGGTTTATGAGGGCATTGTGCTGACTGCTTTCATATCCCCTTTAATCTCTGTGTAAGCAACAGACTTGCTGCAGTTGAGATGCCTGAGAGGGGCAGAGATCCCCTGCCCATATTTTCTCAGGAGCTGAGCCTTTGCTCTACCTCCTGATGGAAAACATAATTAACAAGCCACCATGAGGACACCATTGTTTGATTGCACTGTGTACTCTTAAAAAACATATATTAACCTTTAAACTGCTTTGTAAGCTATTACCACAAGCTCCTTCAAACTGCTTTGTGAGCTGTTATCACAAGCCCCTGATAACTATTTTTATGTGGTTTCTGTTCCCTTTTCTGTTTACCCCCTTTTCTGCTGAGCTAAAGTAAATGTAACAAGAAAAAAGGTATAAAAGCTGTAACCCACAAAAATAAAGCTGCTGCTTGACTTAGAGTCACGCAGACCTCCAGACTCCGCTTTTCTTTCTTCTTTCACTTCCGCACACTCTCTCCCTCAGGTTGAACGAGACATCTACGTTGGCGGTCTCGGGGACTCCCGCAGGTCGGCAGCCCCCCAGCAGACGTGCCGGACCCCAACAATGGGGGCTGAGTCAGTCAGCGAATGCATAAGGCCTGGGCACAGAGGAACAGGTTAGGGCACATTCACCTCAGGATTCTGTGGCTCCCTCCTTGGAGAAGGCAGAGAGCATCTTGGGGGTACAATTCCAAGAGCAGCGAGGGCAGAGGTTAGAGATGGCTGAGAGCCCCTAACCTGAAGAGGCTCCACAATAGGCAGCAACAACTGTGTGGAGTCCTCCTTCTCACAACTTAAAACTCCTTATGAGCTGGCTTATTTAGCATACTGGGTGTCACGACATAGGATGGACATTTACATATGTCCATATGTTGTTTTTTTTCCCCAAGTGGCTTCTAGTTTATTCACAGAACTGTGTGTGCCTTACCACAATCGATTTTAAAAGGTTTTTATTATCCTAAAATGAAACCCTGCAGCTGCCAATCTGCCTGCTGAGTCCATGGCTGTGCCTGCTCTGGACATCTGATGTAAATGGAAGCATAGAATATGTGGCCTCTGAGTCAGGCTTCGTTACTTAGCACAGCATTTTTGTAGCAGGTCTCAGGACTCCATTCCTTGTTAGGGCTGAATTAGCTCATGTCACCTTGAAGCTGGTGGGAAATCACTGGGCCTCTGGCTGCTGCACCAGGGGAGGGGGACTCCCGGCCTCAGGGCAGGCTAAGCTGGGGCTCTAGGCATCAGGGTGCCCAGCAGGTATTGGGCTCCCACTGCAGTGGGTGAAGCTGGCTTCACTCACCCTGCCTTTGGGGCTGCTTCTCCCCAGATCATGCCCTGATGGCTGGGGCCCAGCACGTGGTGACCTTCAACGGCCAGATGTGGGACCTCAGCGCCCAGTGTGGCAGCGTCCTGCTGGCCCAAGACTTTGCTCACAACACATTCTCCCTGATGCTGGACTTCCTTCTTATCACAACTAAGTGCTTGGCTTCCTAAGCCAAGTATGCTAATATGAAATCACATGTAAGTGATGTGATACTGCTCATTCTAACTCGTTTATCACCTCATTCAAAAGTCTCCAGGTGTTCAGAAGGGTAGTGAAAATTCAGAAAGGGCAAGCAGTGACCCTGATAATGGATGCCACCAATATGCCAGCTGTCAAAGCCATCATGTATCAGTATATGGAAGAGATTTACAATAGAATCCCTGACTCAGACCCATCTTCCAGTAAAACGAGGCAGATCATCTCCACCATCCGGACGCAGAATCTTCTCAACTCTCAGCTAATCTCCTAAAGCCACTACTCCCCCAGCTACCTGTCCTTTGTCATGCTCTTGGCTGCCCTGAGCTGGCAGTACCTGATCACACTCTCCCAGGTCATGGGAGACTATGTTCAGACTGGAGAACACTGATCTCAAATGTGTCAGGAAGCTGAAGTTCACCATGACATGGATTTACTTTTTTTCTTCGAGAATGGATGTTGGTTTCTTTTTTTTTCCCTCCTACTTTAATCCCTAAAAGAACACTGTGTGGCTGGGACCTTTAGGAAACTGAAATGCAGTAGAGAATATAAACAGGAAAGGAAAAGGAAAGGGTGGTTCACCGCAGCAACCTGTGCTTGGGGGAGGTGATGACTGTGCTGCTTGTGGCTCAGGTCAGAGCATTCTGTGCCACGCTTTAGTTGAAATGGCTGCATATGGGACCATCATGAGGTCTTATTTAGTGTGATCCTGGCTAGAATGATAATTAAAAGTAATTTGAAGCAACCTTTGAATGTTAATCATAGTAGAAAATGAATTTACTTTCTGTTCAGTTCCTATTTTTATCATTTTGTTTTCCTTAATTGGATTGAATGGAGTTGATAGAAATATTTGTGGTTTAGGTAATACTTTCATGTTTCCTAAGGAGGCCAACTGCCTTTTGCATTATGAAGCCTGGGAATAAAATTCTGGGTGTTCTAGTATGATTTTTTTCATTCAAAGGGAGTTTAGCTTTCAGAGAGAAACAGCAGGATTGCCTTTGACCCCACTTTACAAGATTGGCCTCCAGCAAAGATAGATATTTTTGAGATTTTTATAACAAAAAATGTAATTGCTAATAAATAAATAAATAAATAAATAAATAAAACCACACCATTTTGTTTTGTTTTGTTTTGTTTTTGTCTTGTAGACATGAATTTATTAGAGGGGACCAGGACTGGAGTGGGTAAAGCTGCAGCTGGGAGGAAGGGGCAGGGGTGGGAACATGGCTGATGGTGTGTGGGTCAGTGGGCCAGCAGGTGTGACATTCTTCACTCTACAGAACTTCAGTGCCCAGGGCATGGCAGAAGCTTTGGGAAAAGGCGGAGGCAGTAGGTGTCAGGTTCCAGTTGCATCTGGGAGGGGGTAAGATGAGGAGAAAGTCCCAGCCCCAGGCGTTTTTGAATGCTGAGAGAGAATTTTGGAAGGGAAGGCAATGACACTCCGAGGTCAGAGAAGAGCACTTGAATGACACAGGCTTAAGTGGGTGGCAGCTGCGGTGCTGGGGCAAGCCACGGGGGAACAGTGGAGTGGCAAGAGGCCAGGGCCCCGGGGAAGGCGGAAAGGGACCTGTGGACAGACCCTCTGAACCCTGCCATGGTAGGGGCACCGGTCCCAAGTCCAAGCCCAGTGGAATGGCTCCTTTGCCATGACCTCCTCACAACACTGGCGGCTCACGACAGCTCGGAAATCCATCCGTGCCCACAGCTTATCCCTCTGCTGCAGGAACTTCCCCACTCATAAACGCCAATCTCTTCCCAGGGCCCATGGAAAAATCTCACATTTGGGCCCCTCCAGGTCCTCCTCCATGTCATTTGCAAGGTACAGGGCCAAGAACAGGCTGCTGTGGGTGCACTCGCTGAGCTTCAGGTGGGCGCGCTGGAAGTAGACCAGCACCATGGCCAGGAGATACTTACGTGAAATCTGGAAGCAGGGGTCTTTGGAGAGGAATTCCTGGACAAAACTGTCCTCCAGAAGGTTGAGGAAGGCCTGGAGCTCTTCGTGCTGGCGAAATGGAGGAACCCATTTCCCCCACCTTGCCGGCTGCAGCCCCCCAGCTCTACCTGGGTGGTAACTACAGGGGAAGTGGTGGGGTCTTGGGAATCCCTTCTCTGGAACATTAATCTAGGGTGCTTGGGGCACTAGGACCATTATGTCCCACACAGCCTTGTCATGTATATGACATACCTAACATACTAATAATATAATAATAGCATGATGCTATTATGACCATACTTCTTGGTCATAAGCTTTTATGACATTAAACTCCTATGAGTGTTCTACTGGGCGTGGTGGCTCATGCCTGTAATCCCAGCACTTTGGGAGGCCGAGGAGGGTGGATCACGAGGTCGAGAGATCAAGACCATCCTGGCCAACATGGTGAAACCCCGTCTCTACTAAAGATACGAAAAGTTCGCTGGGCATGGTGGCATGTGCCTGTAATCCCAGATACTCAGGAGGCTGAGATGGGAGGATTGCTTGAGCCCAGGAGTTCTGGGCTGTAGTATGCTATGCCGATCGGGTGTCCTCACTAAGTTCGGCATCAATATGGTGACCTCCCGGGAGCAGGGGACCACCAGGTTGCCTGAGGAGGGGTGAATCGGCCCAGGTTGGAAATGGAGCAGGTCAAAACTCCCGTGCTGATCAGTAATGGGATTGTGCCTGTGAATAGCCACTGCACTCCAGCCTGGGCAACATAGTGAGACCCATCTCTTAAAAAAATTTTTTTTAAAATAAATAAATAAATAGATTTTTTTTTAAACAAGCTTTTTTGCGGGAGGCGGCGAGCACAGAGAGAACACCATGAAGGCCTCGGGCACACTTCGAGAGTACAAGGTGGTGGGTCACTGCCTGCCCACCCCCAAATGCCACACACTGCCCCTCTACCGCATGAGAATCTTTGCGCCTAATCACATCATCACCAAGTCCCACTTCTGGTACTTCGTGTCTCAGTTAAAGAAGATGAAGAAGTTTTCGGAGGAGATTGTCTATTTACTGTGGGCAGGTGTTCAAGAAGTCCCCCCTGCGGGTGAAGAACTTTGTTTTTTTTTGGATGTGGGCAAATCTTTTTTTAATTGCAAAAGACTTCATTTATAGCACATTCAATAATGAACCCACAGGAGAATTGCTGACTTTGGAACATATGAATATATAAAAATCCCTTGCAGTTCAGGTAGTCAAGAAAATAAGCCCATACAAGGAAAGCAACCCTCATTTTTCTGAAAACGTTTATATTTTAAAAGGTCACTAGATATACTTGGAAGTTCGAAGCAGTAGAATGTACCTTGGAGGGAAAGGAGGAGGAAAACCCTTTTCCATGTTGTCAGACAAATGTATATCAAATCTATCCCAATTCTGCTTGGTAAAGTCAGCTGGATGACCTCCTTGAACCAGGATAGGGCAGAACACCTAGTGAAAGCGGGCCCTGGGTAGGGATGTGAATCCAGGAGAGGAGCAGCAGATCCCATGCAGCGCCAAACACACCCCTCCCACCCTCTAACACAGACGAGGCACATCGCCCATGTCCCTGGACCCGGATGCATAAGACAGTCATCAGATGGTTACTGCTCCCACGGCCCAGCGCTTTCTAATGGTCTTGATTTAGGCCATGGAGAAAAAATCCATTACCACTAAGTGCATGCTTAATATACATACTACTGGGTGTATGTATATTGTATGGACACTAAAAAACCAGTATGTCATACTCTGCTAAGCCAAATCAAGAATGTTCTCTGGAACATTAATCACAGGAGAGATTCAGGCAGGAACATTTTTATTTCAGAAAAGAATTTCTTGCCAGTCAGAAACAACTAGAAGCCATTAAACAACTGCAAGAAAATGCTGTCAACCAGGAAGGCATCCTGAGAAAGAGGCTCCAAGAAGCCAGCCAATGGCTGGAGGATGCAGAGGAGCAGGTTAAGGATCAAGATCGAGAAGCCCACTCTGCCAGTGAAAAAGCTATGTCTTTATGGCATAAATTAGAGGAAGCAATTTGGGAACAATGGAACCTTCAAACTATAAACTGAGTTATCGAACACTTGCCAGGCACTTCAGCAGAAGACAAGGAAACTGAAAACAACAGTTGAGTCACTTCGAAAGAGGTTAATTGAAGGCGAACACCATGGCTTGTTGTTTCAGAGCGTTTTAGATGAGGAATTCCCTCACTATGATTCCCTCTCCTGCAAAAATGCAATTCAACAGCCTCTTCAAGAAAAATTGAAGCAGTGTTGCCACAAACCGTATGGTGGTCAAGAAGCAAGAATACATCAGACACCCCTGACCTTGAAACATACATGCTGGTACACACCTCTGCTGGATGCCTTATCTCTGGATAGTTTTACAGTAGTTCCAACCCTGGAATCAACACCCTTCTCAGGTGTAGCCAACTGAATCCATGCTTTGTGTGAAAGGCTCACATATGGAGAAGTAAAGGACGGTGCTTTGGGTGTAACAAGACATCACAAGTGCCCAGGCCCCACAGGTGGCCCCAACCAAGGAACAAATCTCTCAGGCTGCATCAGGATGAATGATGAGCCAAGCATGGAAGAGAATGACGTTGAACGCGTGTGTTCTGAGAGCCTGCTGCAGTCCAGGGAACATTCCTCACTACCGTTACCCAGACCCACTTCATTGACAGACAGTACTATAACTTCAAGTGATTCTGGATTAGAAATTCTGAATATGGCTACTTGTGACCTTGAGAGTAAGAAAGAGGAGGATACAAGATCAGCTTCTCCGATGATACAGGCCCAAGGTACAAGTCCAGCTCATGATATTACTGCATTCCAAGACTCTACACAGAATTTCTCAGATTATCTTTGGGATTTAAGTGTGACTGGTTTACCTTGGAGAAGAGAGTGAAGCTTAAAGAGATGTCCTGTGACTTGGCAGAAGAAAATTTAAAGAAAGAAATCACTAACTGTTTAAAACGATTAGAGGCAGAAGAGGAATCATGCAGAAAACTGGGCAATAGGAAATAATATCAATTTTAAGCTTCAAAGAAGAGAATCAAGGCTACTTCCATTTATGATTAACGGAGGAAAGAAAATAGTAACTGATTCAGTCTTCTGATGATGGGCAAGCCTGCTGTAGGGTACTGAGAGCAGAATGGGGGTGCACAGGAGTGTAACAACTGCTATTCTTCCACATGGTGCAGTTACCATACATTTAGAGATGAGCTGGAAGATTCGTGGGCTTAATTTTGGATGAAGGATATTAAAATTGAGAAACCATGGGAAAAAAAAAAAGTACTCTGCATACAGGCATGGAGTCACTCCTGTAAAAAGGGCCCATTGGTGAGGCTATGAGTGTTTTCCGCATATGATAAACATTTGAAAGTTTATCATTCTTGATAATCATCAAGAATGTGAAGTGTATATATGCCTTATATGGAAATCTGCATTCCAGAGTTCCATCTCTGGAACATTAATCTAGGGTGCTTAGCACCATAGAAATGCTAAGGAATCTCTCACAGAAATCCTGGGGCTTCAGTTCAAGCTGTTTGCCTATGAGGTGTTATATAACATTGCTTTCATGTATGCCAAGAAGGAGGAATGGAAAAAAGCTGAGGAACAGTTAGCATTGGCCACTAGCATGAAGTCTGAGCCCAGACATTCCAAAATCGACAAGGCTATGGAGTGTGTCTGGAAGCAGAAGCTGTATGAGCCCGTGGTGATCCCTGTGGGCAGACTGTTTCGACCAAATGGCTCAGCTGGCCAAGAAGGATTACCTAGGCAAGGCAACTGTCGTGGCGTCTGTGGTGGATCAAGACAGTTTCTCTGGGTTTGCCCCTCTGCAACCACAGGCAGCTGAGCCTCCACCCAGACCGAAAACTCCAGAGATCTTCAGGGCTCTGGGCCTTTTTTTTTTTCAGGGAGGAGACCATTTTTATTGCTTGTCTGGGTGGATGCCCTGGTTAGATGGGGCAGGAAGGGTGGGGAGCCTGTCCGGGACAATAAAGCTGCCCTCATCAGATGTGAGCCATGTCACCGAGGAAGGGAGTCTTCATGTAGCCGGTGCAGAGCTGGTCCATCCAGAGTGGGGCCTCAGGCTGCAGGTGTGTGTGGCGCGGGTAGAGGGTGAAGTCCACACGGTAGTTGAGAAGGCAGCTGAGGGGGGCCATGTAGAGGTCAGAGAAGCGCACGAGGCGCCTTGAGAAGTAGGTGGGTTGTGGAAGGTTCGGAAGATGCTGCCAAACTGCGCATTGAACAGGGCCTTGGTGATGCACCTCAGCTTCTGCCACTCTTTCATCCAGGCAGCCAGCACCTGCCTTGACTCCGAGTCCTGATAGGTCTGCATGCACTCCAGCAGCCCTGGAGCGCCTGCTGCCACGTCAGCAAGAGCATGTACTGCTCTGTGTTGATGCGGATCTCGTGCTCCAGCTTGGGGATGATGGCGCCCATGCGCAAGCCATGCCACAGCATGAGATCCGCCAGGTCACTATAGAGGTGGTCCCCGAAGTAGAGCATGTGGGGGCCACGCCATTCCGGCAAGCGTAGGAAGTCAAACAGGTTTCCCTGCTGATAGATCTTGCCCTTTTCCAGGTGGGTGATCCGGTCCCACTGAAGCGAGCCCTTCTCGTCGAGTTTTCTGAAAGGCTTGCGCCGGTCAGTGAAGAAGCTGGGCTTGTCCGCCTGGACGATGACCACATCAAAGAGCTGGCACCAATCAGGACCCGCCATGTGCCGCATCCCCTTGTCTACAAAGCTGAAAGGACTGTTGGTGATGAGGAACAGCTGTTTCCCATGGGCCACCAGGCAGCTCAGGGCCTGTGTGGTCCTACTAGGAGAAATAGACTTGGAAAAGGAGAGTGACACACCCCTCCAGCAAGTATCCATTGAAGAAATTCTAGAAGAGCAAAGGGTGGAACAGCAGACCAAATTGGAGGCAGAGAAGCTGAAAGTGCAGGCCCTGAAGGACCGAGGTCTTTCCATTCCTTGAGCAGATACTCTGGAGGAGTACTAAGTCTTGCCCAGAGGCTGTTGCTCTTGAAGAGTAGGGGCTGTCACTGAGTGAAAGTGACATCCTGGTCACCTCACAGTTGATCAGAGACTGTAGAATTTTGAAAAATCACTCTTATTTTTCATTCTTTTACACATGCAACATGAAGAAATCATGTAGGTGGGGTTTTTAAAAAATAACAAAATTGTTGTTTCAAGAAACAGTGGCATAGACTCCTTCACATGTCACTGTGGCACCAGCAACTACTTTATATTGTTCTTTGTATCCCGAATTAGAGTTTACAGGGACATTCTTCATTTACTTGTAAATAAAATATGAATCTCAAAAATAAAAATAAAAAACTCCATGTGATCAGCCACCCCCAGAGGCTCCTGGTCCAATGAGTGATGCCTGCAAGGCCATCGCATCCCCGGTGCAGGGGGCTGTGGCCTCTGTCACTTTTGATGACTTCCATAAGAACTCGGCCTGCATCATTCGCACTGCTGTCTTTGGCTTTGAGACCTCGGAAGCCAAGGGCCCCAATGGCATGGCCCTGCCCAGGCCCCGGGATCGGGATGTAGTCAGTAGAGCCCGCGGACCAGAGAACCTGGGATGCCCTGCAAAGCAGCGTCCAGCTGGCCATTGAGATCACCACCAACTCCCAGGAAGCAGCAGCCAGCACGAGGCTGAGACTGGAGCGGGAAGCCCGTGGCTGGCTTGAGCGGCAGAAGATCCTGGACCAGTCAGAAGCTGAGAAACCGCGTAAGGAACTCCAGGAGCTGGAGGCTCTGAGCATGGCCGTGGACAGCACCAGGAACGACAAGGCGGAGGCCAAGTCCAGTGCAGAGGCAACCCGGATTGAGGGAGAAGGGTCAGTGCTGCAGGCCAAGCTGAAAGCAGAGGCCTTGGCCATCGAGTCAGAGGCTGAGCTCCAGCAGGTGCAGAAGGTCCGAGAGCTGGAACTGGTTTATGCCCGGGCCCAGCTGGAGCTGGAGGTGAGCAAGGCTCAGCAGCTGGCTGAGGTGGAGGTGAAGAAGTTCAAGCAGATGACAGAGGTCCTGGGCCCCAGCACCATCAGGAACCTTGCAGTGGCTGGGCCTGAGATGCAGGTCAAACTGCTCCAGTCCCTGGACCTGAAATCAATTCTCATCACCAAGGGTTCCACTCCCATCAACTTCTTCAACACGGCCTTTGGGCTGCTGGGGATGGGGCCCGAGGGTCAGCCCCTGGGCGGAAGGGTGGTCAGTGGGCCCAGCCCTGGGAAGGGCATATCCCTTCAGTCTGCTCAGACCCCCAAAGCTCCTGCGGACAACCACGTGGTGCCTGTACTGCACCCCTGACCAATAAAATGGACATTTTTGAGCATTTTCAAACAAGTTACATATATAGCCTATATGTAATTTTTTGGGGGGGCGAAAGAAGGGGTTTATTATTAATATTATTACTGCCCAGATCCGGGTGATGATTTGTCTAAACCCAGCTAGTCTAACAAGGAAAGGTTCTGCCTTTATATAGGCTTACAGTGTAGCCTTAGAAATCACAAGTAAAAGGGTTTTGGATTTACAGCTTTATGAATTACATGTGAAAGATTTCAGGTTTACAGTTTCAGAAATCACATGCGAAAGGTTTCAGGTTTACAGTTTTAGGAATCACATGTGAAAGGGTTTTGGATTTACGGTTTTAGGAATCACATGTGAAAGGGTTTCGGGTTTACAGTTTTAGGAATCACATGTAAAAAGGTTCTGGTCTCTGGATGGAGCAGTGGGGATCTTGTTTAAGTGAAAAGTGTCTTCCGGAGAGTTTCCCCAATACCAAGCCTGCCATCTACAGGAAGGTGATTCAGGAGGCGCCAATTGGCCAGCCTTTTTTTCTATTGAAATGCAGTGTGCAAGTCAAGGAGGCAGGTGATCCCGGATGCTTGGGTCTCCTTCCTGACCTCTACGCTTGCCCATATCATCAATCCAGTAACCCAAGTAGAGACAGATCATCAGAACCTGGGACAAGGGCTTTGGAGACAAAATGCTGAATGTGGATGGGGAAAAGATGCAGATGTTGAGGTTGAAGAGGGAGGCAGCTGCGAACCCTGCATGGGGTGCTGAATGATGAAGCTGGTTCCTAGCCATGAAATTCATTGTTTTCAGCTGTCTTCTATTGGATCACAGCCAAAACTACAACATCCAGAAATCCTTGGCTAGTTCTGCTCCCTTGTATTGGTTCTCATTATTGGGCCTGGGTGCTACACCCAGGCACCCCACAAGACCACATCCTTGATCCTTGACATGCCTCGAGCCCCCAATCTTGATGAGTTCCCCATGAAATACTCACTGAGCCCTGGTATTGGCTACATGACCCACAACACTGAGGACCATAAAGTGGCCAGCATGGATTCCATCGGGAACGTGATGGTGTCCTCACCTGTCAAGGTCCAAGGGAAAGAATACCCCCTGGGCAGAGTCCTCATTGGCAGCAGCTCTTACCCCAGCGTGGAGGGCTGGGCCATGAATAAGACCCTCTGTGACTTCCTCTATGCCCAGCAGGTCCAAGCACTGGTGGACTCTACTCAGATTGGCTAATGACCGGCCACGTGGATGAGTTCATGTGTTTCATACCCACAGATGAGAAGAGTGAGGGCAAAAAGGGCTTCCAGCTGCTCCTGGCCAGCCCCGGCACCTGCTACAAACTCTTCCAAGAGAAACAGAAGGAAGGCTATGGTGATGCTTTTCTGTTTGATGGAGTTAGAGCAGATCAGCTCCTGTCTAACAGAACGGAAGCCAAAACAATTGACCAGCTTCTGGCTGATGAAAGCCTGAGGAAGCAGAATGAATACGTGGAGAAGTGCACTCACCTGAACCATGACATCCTGAAGACAGCTGGGCCTGGTGGAACAGGACATCATCAAGATTCCCCAGCTGTTCTGCTTGGAGAAGCTGACTAATGTCCCCTCTCAACAGCAGCCTAAGAGGCTCTTTGTGAGGCCATACTTCCCTAACCTGCTGTGGATGATTGTGATGGGCAAGAACCTGGGGATCCCCAAGCCTTTCGGAGCCCAAATCAAGGGCACCTGCTGCCTGGAAGAAAAGATGCGCTGCTTGCTGGAGCCTCCGGGCTTCGACTGCTACCTGGCAGATGTGGGAGACATCTTGTGCCTGCGCCACCATCCACCGGGTATCCTTTGCCTTCAAATGGTGGAATATGGTACCTTAGACCCAGGCCCTGGAGTTGCCAGCTCTGCCCCAGCATGGATGGCCCATGTCACCATGCAGCAGCAAGACTCCTTGCCAAGTAGAGGAGGCTGGAGAGTCGAGGCAACACAACCCTTTCTTCCCCACCTACCCTGACCCTTGGACCCCATAGGATGGCAAATGCTGCCAGCTTGAACCCCTGTGGGGAAAAGATGGAAAAGTTTTCAGCCAAGAGGCATTTACTAAATAGCCAATAAAGCACTGGCTGTCGTGAATGCAAAAAAAGAAAAAATAATAATTTTTTAATTTTTTTTATTGTTTCCACATCTGCCCTTTATCGGTCTCTTCTAGCAGGGTGGCTCCAGGCCCTTCACGCCTCTCAGACACCACCCATGAAGGTGTAGGAAGGTACCATCATTCTGTGAAGGCCCAGAGCTTACCCAAGTCTTGAAGCCCTAGTTCAATCACCAGAGGGTTGGGAGAGGAAAAGGAAATGGGCAGAGGGGAAAGGCAAGGCTCTTCAGTGAAGGGGAGTGATATCAACGGAATGCTGAGGTCCAACAGAGTCTGAGGGTATGCTGAATACTAAGGCTCCTCGGGACTGGATGGGGTTGGAGAACTGTGTGCTGAGCAGCTCACATCTATATGGCAACTTTAAGGAGGCGCTTGATGTCAGGCTCAATGTTGATGGTTGGGAAGGTGCCGCAATAGCCTCGGAAGGGCTCTCCCTCCGCCCTATGAGGAACTTCTCAAAGTTCCAGGCCACATCTGAGTGGCACATGGGGCTCCAAATGATGAACTTGGGATGGGTCATGAGGGAAAAGGGGTCATCATAAGGGTAGGGGAGCTTGTCCTTCAGATAGGCTAAGACAGGATACTCGTTCTGCCCATTCACCTCACATTTTTGGACAAGGGTGAAGGTGGGCTCGTATCCACCCCAGGGCGGACATACTTGAGACTGTTCAGGATCTCCTCATTCTGACAGTTCTCCTAATGTCCAAATTGGTTGCAAGGGAAGCCAAGGTTAAAAAAGCCAAGGGAAAAAAGGTTTTTTTGTTTTTGTTTTTGTTTTCAGGGGGAGCCGGCGTTTAATTCTCAGGGCTTCGGGCAGAGCAGGGCCGCAGTCCTGGGGGGCCCCCAGCCGTCGCAGGGTCGAGTGCTGGCGGCTCTGCCAGTCCTCAGTCCCCCTTCCGCGGCAGCCTGGTGCCCGCAGACCCCGGGTAGGGCAGGCCCAGGGGCGGGTAAAAGGCCTCAGGGAGCGCGGGGCCTGGGCCCAGCCTCTGCAGATGCCGGTACACCAGGCCCAGCTCCGCCGGGCCGTAGCGGATGGCACCGGGTGTGCACAGACCCCGCACCACGGGCGGCAGGAAGCCCGCATGCAGGAAGGCGGGCGGGGGGTCCCCGGGAGGTGCCAGGCCCCACGGCCCCACTGGGTCCTGCTTCAGGGCCCCTGCCCGATTGACAGAGGTGAACTCGGGCCGCGGTGGGGCCGGGTAGCCGGAGGGATCCTCGTCGCCACTGTCCTCTGAGCCTTTGGTTTCCCTCGGGACGGGCTCCACTTTGATGCGTATGCCCTGCGTCTGGGGGGCCTCCTTCTCCAGCGAGGCAGTCTCCTTCCCTTCCGTTGGAGGCTCCGGCTCTGTGGGCTCTGGCCCCGGGCTGGATGCGTCCTCGCAGGTCATGCTGGCTGGAAGCTGGAAAGCATCCAAAGGAGTTTGGCCACCCTCAGCTTGGCTGAGCACGTCGCTGACCCAAAGCACGTGGTGCGTGTTCGGAGTAAAAGTGGTAACTTTGCCGGGCTTCACAGCCCAGAATTAAGAGTCAGATAGGACAGGCTGCCCGAGGCCCGGGAGCAGACCTTGAACGCTCAGCCACGTTCCCGAAGCCAATTCTCCCCAGCGGCGGCTGCTCCCTAACCGCGGAGCTGTGTGGAGCGCGCCGCATGGTTCGCGCAAGCGGACGTCGGAGCCGCAGCTTCGGGCCGGGTCACTCTCCCGCCCTGCGGACGCCGGCAGTAGCTGAACTGAGACTTTGAACGCTGAAGTTGGCCCCGGGAGCCTCGGTCCGGACCGCGGCCTTCCTGAGTTATTTCTTCCAGGGCAATTTGCCACGCTCTGGAAAGTCTTGGGTTTCGATAATCTGTTTAGAAATTACCCCTCCTCACAATCCCGTATCCTTCCACTTCCCACTTCCTTCTCCCTCCGTCCCTCCACCCCCCACACCGCTCGAACCTGGGGGTCTTCAGTCAGCTACACACCACGCTAAAAAAAAAAAAAAAAAAAAAAAAAGGCCGGGCGCGGTGGCTCACGAGTTCAAGAGAAGGAGACCATCCTGGTCAACATGGTGAAACCCGTCTCTACTAAAAACACAAAAATTAGCTGGGCATGGTGGCGCGTGCCTGTAGTCCCAGCTACTCAGGAGGCTGAGGCAGAATTGCCTGAACCAGGAGGCGTAGGTTGCGGTGAGCCGAGATCGCGCCATTGCACTCCAGCCTGGGTAACGAGAGCGAAACTCAGTCTCAAAAAAAAAAAAAAAAAATTTTTTTCCCAATGCATTGTAACCCTTTATTACTTCATATAATCCTTTTATACTCTTGAGAGTGTTGGAATTTTAAGAAGAAAGTGGTTGACTGGATCAAGGTCACACACACAAATCAAATAGGAAAATCATAACCCTAATTCTCCAGCATTCCAGTCATGGTAGTAATTTATAACAAATATGGTTTACGTAGAACATGATTAAACGAGTTGCCTAGGTGCTGTATTTGACGCTACACGGGTGGAGAAAATTCGGAAAACATGTGCTGTAAATTAGAATTAGCTATTATTGAACCTAGCTGAGAAAGCGGCCGCACACCAATTTCTCTGCCTTCTTTTGCAGACCAAGTTTCAGACAGAAAGATCAACTTGGGTTTTCTTTCCTTTGCGGTCGTCAGCAACTGCTGGGTTTCTGTGCTCGTGCCACTTAATGGAAGCCCAACTATCTCCAGTGTACAATTTGGGCGCATCAAGCTCTCCAGAAGTTTTACAATTCCTTCATCACTGAAGCTATTTCGAAGCACATTGAGTCTTTTTAGTGTTGTGTTGGTGGTAAAAACAGAGGCAACAGCATCACAGCAGACAGTGGTTAACATGCACTCTTCTAGCCCAATATTCACCAACTCAAAGCATCACATATCAGCTGTATCCCCTGTATCTCCTGTGTGGTTGCTCCCAAGCTCCAGGCTCTTCAGGTTTCCATTAGCAACAATAACTAAGGCAATATGTTCACAGATCTCGGTGGTAAGGAAACAGCCAAACAGCTGTAGCTCCTCTAAATGACAGGAAAATACCAAGGGAAATATCAAAATTAATGCTCCATAATTTTTTAAGTAATTCACACTCGGGTCTACTTCTTTGAGATTTGGGCTGAGCAGAAGAGCTTTTCCAAGGAAGCTGCAGCAACTTGCAGTGAGACAGCAGAAGACTAACACCAGCTCCTGTCAGTGATTGGGTTCCGAATCGTCCTCCTGAAAGTGGCTGGCTTTCATCTGCTCATGACGCTCCGGCTGTGGTCCAGCTGAGGTGAGAGGTCTTGAAGCTGTGGGGGTTAGGGGCGCGTCTCTGGGTGCATCCTAAGCTCTGAGAGCAAACCTCCCTGCAGGGTCTTGCTTTTAAAAAGTCCAAAGCCTGAGCCCACCAAACTCTTCTAGTTTTTCCTGTTACAAGCTTCTCTTGTTCAGTAACAACGGCCTGAAACCCTATAAAATACATTCATTTCAGCTGCCTCTGTTGAACCTCTCCCCTAAGAGGTAGGAAACGAGGAAACTGAGGCCACACAGCTAATGAATGGAAGCAGAGAGACATCATTTATAACCCAGGCCTTATGTTGTATTTTCTCACCCTGTGACTGAAAGGAGCCCCCAAGTCCTCTCCTCATGTCCTCTCTCCCCACTATGCTATGGCTCTCTTAACTCACTAGTGAGAAGACGTTACACTCATATTATACCCTAATCCTGGCTACAGTCTCCACACCCTCCTCCCCCAGGACCCCCAGTCATCTTGCTGACAACTGCATCCTTTTCTGTCACCATCAAAAAGGTTGGGCGCGAGGGCTCACACCTGTAATCCCAGCACTTTGGGAGGCAGAGGCGGGAGGAACACAGGAGTTGGAGACCAGCTTGGGCAATATAGGGAGACCCCGCCTCTACAAAAAGTAAATTAGCCGGGTGGGGTGGTGCACAAAAAAAAAAAAAAAAAAGGAAAAAAAAAATCCTCAGGGCCAGGATGGCAGCGGTGGTGGCGGCGGCAGCGGCGGCGGCGGCGGCGGCTTCAGGAAGCGGGACTCCCCGAAAGGAAGACGGACCCGCTAGGGAAGCAGCGGCCTCGCAGTCCCCAGCCCCAACTAGTGTGCCTGGGGCACATCTCTCGAGGCTGCCTCTGGCGTGAGTAAACGCCTTGGTGAAGGCGGACCACGACGTGTCGCTAGCAGGACAGGAAGCCATCTTCATTCTGGCACCAGCAGCGGAGCTATTTGTGGAGACCACTGCAAAAGATGCCTACTGCTGCGCTCAGCAGGGAGAAAGGAAACCCCTTCAGAGGAGAGGCTTGGATAATGCAATAGAAGCTGTGGATGAATTTGCTTTTTTGGAAGGTACTTTGGATTGATTGCTGAGTGGGGCAGATTTGTGAGCCTTCATCTGCAGCCTTCAGTTCACCCCTCTCTACAGGACTCAGCTTTGAAGAACGGAGTCTTTGCACTTAAAGACACTCTTGTTGTTCTGCCGTCACCTATGCTGGGATAAGCAGAGATCTCATCAATTAGCTTTTCTCTGCAAGGTCTTCCACTACTTCTGTCTTCCATGTCAAGCCTGGATGCAGCTGCTGGTGCTTGGAGCAGAGATGAAGAAGTGTTCTGCATACGTGGCTTACTGAATGATGAGGACCAAAAATAAAGGTTTTTGATCAGCTTTAAAGAAAAAAATTCTTTTTTTTTTTTGGACTTTCCCCCAAGGAATGCTTTATTGACAAATTACCCATTATTACAACTTTAAGGAAAAGATACATTAGTTACACCTGTGCAGCCTGCCGTCTCACCACACACCATAGGCCGATTTTAACCCTGGACAAAGGGCACCGAGTGCTGGGGTTCCCCAGCCCCTGCGTCTTTATTGTGTGTGGAGTGCCATCCCCAAGGGTGTCTGAACTGTCTGGGGACACGACTGTCAGAGGACACAGGCTCTACACAAGCAGAGCACCTTGAGCTGAGCAGCCCTTCCCCCCCAAGAGTGGCAGAGCCGCGAACACGGCAGGCAAGCCCTCAGCGCGGGTGTACTCTGATTTAACTGATTGTCTCATTCTGTTCACACATTTCAAGTTTAAATGCAAGCATAAAATGCTTATCAACAAATCTAGAGAGCACTTGCATTATTTTATATTTCTGTGATCACAGTAAGGAGCATTAAAAAAAAAAAGAGTATCTTCTTTTACACAAGGCCTGTTCCCTCTTTACATCTTCAGACTTAAATTCCGTAGAAGGTAACAGCTTTATATTAAGATCGAAGCTTAGTGGTCACACACACACACAAAAACACTGAAATACAATTAGGAAATTAATGATATTGTATCTCAAAGAATACCGGAACTATACATTCATTAATAATTTGGCAATGACAGATTCCATGCTGTTCAACTTTCATCTTTTATACTCACATGTAAGAAAAAAAATTCATGATTTACCCCAAGTAAAGGTTATTGTTACATATCATTTTGTGATATGAACTCTAATAACAGAACTTAATAAAACTTCCCATACCAACAGCAAGGAGTAAATTGCTAGAATAAAGGAATCATTTTTCCCATCAGGCCTGAGTTTGTTTGGTTCTCTTTACTACTTTATCAAGGACAGAAAGATAAGAATCTTTCAGTTACTTTTCTATGCTGACTGAGTAGTACACAAGCACCTCCAGTGACAAATCACGTCACTGGCCCAGGTAACTCTCCAAAACCGACAGGCCCTAGACCTGCTAATGGCAGAAAAAGGAGGTACCTGTCTGTTTCTTCAGGAACAGTGCTGCTACTATATCAATGAAACAGGCCTTGTAGAAGAAAACGTCAACGCTCTCTATCACCTCCAAGAAGACCTCCGAAAAAAACAGAATGCACCAGTCTCGCCTCTCAACTGGTGGCAATCCCCCTTGCTTACCTAGCTGACCCCTATTACCACCCCCATCTATTAATGTTAGCCCCTTTTTTCCTCAGGTTTTTACAGGCCCACATAAGGGAAATTTCCAGGGTGGCCGTAAACCTGGCTTAGGTATCCACCGCAGGGCAGCTGGTGGGGAGGCCTGCTGGTAAAGGTCGATGCGCTGGGTGCGGAACACTCCACTGTAAGTGGAAGGTGTGGCCTTGAGACGGGAATCGAGGCCACAGAAGGACCTTCAGTTGTGGGAGTACATGATGACCCAGGTCCCCCAAGGTTGCTGCTCAGTTTTCGATAATCCTGGAACAGCTTTAGTTCCACTGGATGCAGCTCTGCTCACCCCAAGCTAGCAGGGAGCCAGGAGACTTACCTAGTTTGCCACTTCCTTGCCCATTGCTCTGATAGGGTTTTCCCTCCTTTTTCATTTATTGTACAAATATAGCAGTAAAAGAAAAGAAAAATTTCAGTACTGTGTCAGTTGTCTTTCTTATTTTGTGTTCCTCCTTTCCGGTGCTTTTCTGTGTAAATAAATATTCTGATGTACTTGTAAGTAATCACTCAGAGCATAATGTAATTTTGTCTTTGGTGCCTTAAAATTTTGCAGCCAGGCAAGAGAGGTTTATAGGGAAGGTAGGAACAAGTGACTATTTGGTGTAAGGATGGGAAGAAGATCAGAGATAAGTAAGGGCAATGATTGAATCCATCCCGTGTCATTGCCGCTAGTCCTCAAGCCACCTTCCTGCCATCATGAGTATAGTGGTGTATTATGGAAGGCAGCATGCCTGGTTTTCCAGTTTCAAAATACTTTGTTTAGCAGTGAGGCTTAACTCACAGTAAACGAAGGGGTCTGTGAGTAGGAGAACCCTTCAGACTGGTTATATTATGAGCTGCAGAACTCACATTGGAAAAAATATAATTTTTTTACAATATTTTCAACTTAAACACTATTCACACTGAACACGTAAGGCAGCTTAACCTACCCAAATATGAAGTTTAAGAAGCCAAAACTGTTCTAGCTTTGTTAAAAGAAACATTGTGCTGCAGACTCTTGTGATGGTTAACAAAGCAAGGAAAAGCACCACTCAAATCATAATGTTACAGTATCTTTGTTCAGCTGGATGATGGGTTGGTATTGGTCATATGTAGACTCCACACAGGCATAGCTACGGTGCAGTGAATCCCTTATGAGTTACAATTCTCAAACTGTATACTTCCTCAGCTGTAACATTAGAACTCAATATTTCTAACACAATAAAGTATCAGAAAAACCTGGACTGGCCCTCATCTGCTAACTACCTTGTAGCCTCAGTAATACGATATACCTGTCTATAACAAATTATCTCAAATTAACTAACAGACCTTCAGAAAATGGAGATTCTTTTTGATGGGGACATAATCAAATTTAAGTCTGAACTGAGAAATATGCTTAACAGTTGGAACTGTTGACTTAACAGTTCCTAGGCATGGGGACTCCTGCCCCCGCCTCCACAACTGTTGAGTTGGTCAAGCCCAGGAAGGAGGTCCATGCTGCCAAATCGCTGGCCATCATTATGGTGCTCTTTGCCCTCTGCTGGCTGCCTCTGAACATCATCAACTGCTTCACCCTCTTCTGCTCCGACTGCAACCACGCCCCTCTCTGGCTCATGCACCTGGCTATCGTCTTCCCCCACACCAATTCGGTTGTGAATCCCTTCATCTATGCCTACTGTATCTGAGAGTTCCGCCAGATCATTCGCAGCCACGTCCTAGGGCAGCAAGAACCCTTCAAGGCAGCAGCTGGCACCAGTGCCCAGGCCCTAGCAGATCATGGCAGTGATGGAGAGCAGGTCAGCCTCTGTCTCAACGGCCACCCCCCAGGAGTGTGGGCCAACAGCAGTGCTCCCCACCCAGAGCGAAGGCCCAATGGCTACGCCCTGGGGCTGGTGAGTGCAGGGAATGCCTGAGAGTCCCAGGGAGACACGGGCCTCCCAGACGTGGAGCTCCTTAACCATGAGCTCAAGGGAATGTGCCCAGAGTCCCCTGGCACAGAGGATCCCCTGGCCCAGGATGGAGCAGGAGTGTCCTGATGATCCATGGAATTTGCCCCTTCCTAAGGGAAGGAAATCTTTATCTTTCTGGAGAAAGATAGGCTAGAACTAGAGCAGTGCAATGGGAAGGACAGCCTGGATTCTGGGCAATTTTGGAAGAGAATGATAGCAAAAGGCCCATGAACGCATGACTAGCTCCACAGAAAAGCTGAATTGTTTTTCCAGAGTTGCAGCACTCCCTCATTCCTCCCACCCTCGTCGTCAGCTGTCACACCTCCCCGACCCACTCTCTGGGGACACGGAGAATCATCAGAGCTCGAACTTGGCTCTCCGCTGTCTGGACCTTCTCTGCCCCGCACCTCCGGCTAAGCTAAGGACGCTGCAGATAGATCGTTTAGGTTGTACACTAATGAACATGATGACATGTTCTACATCTGTCTGTCTATAGTTAATATTTTATATATATGTACAGGCTGTTGTGTGCTTTCTGTTTCTTGCAATAAAAAAAATGTTTGGAGTGTATATTTTGCCATTTTCATGTTGTATCACTTAGTTTTTCTTAGTTTTTTTTTTTTCTGCCTGATTTATGGCTTCCAAAAACGCATTAGCAACATGCAAAGCTTATATTAAAGTTTGATGCTTTCTCCAAGTTCAAACACATCATATAAAAAAGCTTTCCAGAGACCACTGATGCAGCTTTATTATTTAGTCTTGCTTTATTTGGCATTTTGAGCTCCTTCTTTTGTTTACATCTGTACTATAAAGTGAAACCTGAAACTGGGGCCCCCTATGGTCTGTCTCAGTGATTTGGATTTTATATAAATTGATGACATTGTTTTCAAAGTTTAATGAGATCTTCCACTTCTGTCTAGTTAGCACAGATGTCCAAATTAAAATATTTCCTTCTTTCTCATAAGATACTAAAATGCCATGTTAATTGTAGGCTATTGAAAGTTGTAGCTTATCAGAGGTAACTCCCCTTAACCAGGATAACACCTTAATTTTTGTAATCACAGATTAACTTTAATTTGTGATACCATTTTAACTTTGAGCTCTTAAGTAAAAAGTAGCAGCATTCCTAAGTTGTGGGTGAAGTATCTGTTTCATAATACAGGTCTGTCATAATTGAGTTCTGTAAATGTAATGGTTCTCTAAACATTTTAATGCCTAGGCTTGATACTGTATACAATGCAAGATGTCTAAAATCTTCATTTAGAATTCAAGGATATTGCTTGCTATTTCACTTTATATACTTTTTAACTATTGATCTTTGTATATGAGGCATTTCACTAACCTTGGATCATTAGATCTTAAACATGATAATACAGAGTATCTGAACATTGGACTTGTTCTTTAGAGTATATGGCCTTTACTTCTTGTGGAACTAAATGCAGTGATTTTATGATCCAAAAAAAAAAGATGCATGAACACTTCTGGGTGGGCAACAAGCTGTACTGTGAGAAGCAGGCCGGCCAGCGCTAATCCGCACCCACCCCCCTCAGCTCATGGGCCTGAGCCCACCACACCCTCAGCCTGCTGCACTGCTGGGCCAGGGTCATGTCCATACAAGTTGGCATGGCAGGGGCAATTGTGGGCATCTGCTCTTACGTGAGCTAAGTTTGGGGACCTGAGGCCCCTTTGTCTTCACTGGGTGGGCCAAGGTCTGGGACCTGTCTTGGGCTGCGGGAGCCTCATCCTCACCCTGCCAGGACTCTATCCCCTGCAGGACTGGCACTGTG